CCCACTTTTATACTGGAGTCCCAAATGTTGCTTTGTTGGAGTATTCTTGAACTAAAGTAGAGCAGTTAACCGATTGGTGTGGAAAAGAAACAAAAAATCATGTTAGAATGCAGGAACCTACTCTCCATCTTGCCATTGTTGCCACACAATCCTGGGCTTCATGTCTTATCACGTGGTTTAGAAATAAAATGCAGTACGCAAGCACAACTGACTGGCGATTGAGGTAAAGTTCATGCTTCTGTAAAACTGAAGTGTTACAAGATGACGTTAAATCACTTCATTCATCTATTGCTTGGGCTCAGTCTTGTGAATTAAATCAGTTTGAATGATTAATAGTTATTACAACTTCACCATATTTTAAACAATAATGAAGAATCAAGCCTTACGAAGGTCATTAACTATTCTTTCATTCCCTTCAATATAGTAGAATTTATAATGGTTCGAATGAGTTAATAAACCTGATGTGAGCTATTAGAACTATCACTAAGGATGCCATTTTCTTTTTGGCCACTCTGTGACAAAGCATATTTTAGTGTTGTTTTTTATTTTGTTTATCAGAACTTCTGATTGTTTCATGTACAATGTTATGTGTGTATTAGAGTTTATTACTTTAAACCCAACCTTCGTGCTACGAGATGAGCTTAGCGATCGCTGGGTCGGTTTACTGAGTAAGTTATAACAATACTTGGTGATGGCATGTAAGATGCACAGCTTCTAATATCACACGAGCACACACTTACTTTATCAAACATTATTTTAATATTCAATCTGTCCAATAAATTTAAAAAATACCCTTCCATACTTCTCACTTCCTTATCAACAAGAACTAGTAAACCAGAACAAACCAGCATAAAGATTACTGTTGGATAGTTAGGCCAGGTTGCAAGTATTAAAAAAAGTTTACAATGATTTTTGAACTAAACGTTGCTACGTACACAAGAATAAAAAAAAAGGCTTAAAAATGAAGCCCGATTCACTGACATCTAAAATACTCTTGCTTACATAAATATATACATATATATCATAGGGAACTGGTCAATTGTTCTCCACTGATCCTTAGTGCAAACCTGGTGGTGAATGGGTGAATTATGATATATGTACACATGCCAGTAACATGTTACTTTCCTTGGTGCATAGGATCATAAGCTCAATAAACTATTCAACACTAGTGGTGTATAGGTTATCAATTTTCTAAAGGGAACTAAATGACAGCCTTTCTTCAAATAAATATAATGGCTTATGCTGAATAAATGTGAATTTTTTTCCTTCTTTTATTTGTATAACAAAACTTCCTATGTTAATAATATACTATTTGCTACAGAGACAACAATTTAAGTGCCCTGAGAACTTAAAAACAGTTCTCTGCTTCTTATTTACAAAGTAGTCTAGGAAATATGTCCATGGCTCGGAGTGCTTTACAGCTCTTAAACCTGCCGGCTATAACTCCGATCAGGGCTGGGAAAATGTTAGTCTTTGATTTCTACAAGTCCTTTCAATGTGCTTCTACTTTATCACAAGAAACAGTTCTACATTAAAAGTACCAATCTATATTTCCAACTCTTCGGTTAATTAACGTAACTACTTCCTCACTCAATATACAAAAAGTTTTGCCTTTTTTGTCCACCGGGTAATATTATAAACGATCTCTAGATAATACATTTTATTTTCACAACAGAAACTTCACACTATTATTTGACTTCCTTATAGACATGTCATTTTTATAATTGTTTTCCAAACAATCAACAAATGCTGTTTTATAATCATCATGTTCAGGGCCAGACATCTAAATTTCTACAACATATTTAAAACAGGATTTCAACTGTTAACCATCCAGACCTTTTCACTATTAATTTACACGGGAACTTCATGATTACATTTATATTCTATCATTTTACAACATATAACAAAGAGTTCTATGCTGAACAAAGAGAATGCCTTCATTATCCTTAAAACAACAATCACCATTCATGTCTTCCCAACAAATGTCTAGTTTGGTACGTATATATACCACACCATGTAGTTGCGTTTACTTGTGCTGTCTTACCACCAGCACCTTTCACTATGACAGACCTATTTATTACAATAACTAACAATCAACCTGTCTATGGCTAAATACAGTCGTCGTTCTAGGTAATCAAGACCAGTGCACACACTTCACATCCTAACCTTTTTTTTACAGTACTCACCAAATATCCAGATTGAAATGTTCTAGATACACATCACCTTGTACAGATGTTCACAGTAAACTAGTTATTTTAGATAGACACTGACCAGTCTTTTACAGCTAACTATAGTTGGTACTTTAGCTAGATCCTGACCAGTCTTTTACAGCTAACTATAGTTGGTACTTTAGCTACAACCTGACCAATAATTCATGGTCAAAACATTCAATCCTGACCAAAGATGTCCATCATGAACAGTGTATTTTCTCCAGTTTCTCACATACATCCAGACCAGTTGTTTACAGCTAACTATAATTGGTACCTTAGCTAGATCCTAACCAAAGATGTCCATCATGAACAGTGAATTTTCTCCAGCATTTCACATACATCCAGACCAGTTGTTTACAGCTAACTATAGTTGGTACGTTAACTAGATCGTAACCAAAGATGTCCATCATGAACAGTGTATTTTCTCCAGTTTTTCACATACATCCAGACCAGTTGTATACAGCTAACTATAGTTGGTACCTTAGCTAAATCCTAACCAAAGATGTCCATCATGAACAGTGTATTTTCTCCAGTTTTTCACATACATCCAGACCAGTTGTTTACAGCTAACTATAGTTGGTACCTTAGCTAGATCCTAACCAAAGATGTCCATCATGAACAGTGTATTTTCTCCAGTTTCTCACATACATCCAGACCAGTTGTTTACAGCTAACTATAATTGGTACCTTAGCTCGATCCTAACCAAAGATGTCCATCATGAACAGTGAATTTTCTCCAGCATTTCACATACATCCAGACCAGTTGTTTACAATCAAATACAGATACTCTTCCATATCCATCTTGATTAGGTATCAATGTTTGAAATCTAATTCAACACGTTTGTACTGCTGAATAACCTTCTACTTTAGATGAGTTTTGTATAACAGTGTTCCTTTTGCCATATCCTTCTCATTCTCCATCAAAAACTGCAGGTCTCTGAGGTTCACTCTCTTTACACGAGGTCGTAGCTAGAATCAATAAAATAATACATTAGCTGCAGAACTAAGAATTATTTATGTTTAACTTGGATTACAATTTAATTATGCTAGTATTTTTATCTGGGTTACAAAACAATCCAAACCGTGGCACTGGCCAATTGACTCAGTGACACAAGCATTTAATGACAGTTCCTTTACTACCTACTGTCACTCCTATTTTATGACATAGTATACTGCCTCGATGTGTGTAACAGTCAAGTCCCTCCCATGGCACATGAGATCTGGTGCTGAACTCTGGCTTAACTGGCATAAGTGAATGACAGTGGCAACACGTTCCCTCTGGATGGAATGACAGTCTATTGTAGATTAACCCCCAACTGGTACTCATCATATAACTGGGCGGGATAGGCCAAAACAATTGGGGTAAACCGTCTTGATCAAGGACACAATGGCATGACATGAGCCAGCCTCAAACTTCCACCCATTCAATATAAATTTAAATAACCTACAAAACTTTTGCAACAGACATATCTCACAAAAAGAAGTATAGTATGAACATATCCAAACATTAGATGAAATACAGTTAAATCTAATTTTCTAGAAAATAGAATGTAGGCACAAAATCCGACAACAGGACACAAACTATAAGGTGTATCATTATGTAATGTGTCCTGGTTTTTGAGGTACTGGCACGAGTAGGATCCAAACTGTATTGAAGGTACCCCTCCTATCTGGCTTAACCTCAATTTCTCCAGCCTCATATGTTTAAAATTAAAAAAAAAGAGAGAAAAAGGAACAGATGTCGGTGCTCAAGCACACAAGTCCCATATTTTTCGCTGTCTGTAGCGAGAAGTGGGGAGGTGGTGGTTCTCTTGTTACATTTAAGTGAAGTACTATACATCAATGGGGGGAAGACAACAAAACTATCCTTGAAGCCCTCAGTATGATGTTATGGTACTATTATACTAAACCCCTCCTGTTGTTTTAGCACAGCTCCCATCCTGCAGGAGAAGAATATCTACCTATGTACTAAAGAAGAAAAAGTTGTAAACTTAAAAATTAATCATTTGTTTACCTGTGGTTTGTTGCTTGTTGTAAGTGAATGTTTGCCCGTGGTTTGCTGCTAGTGGTAAGTGAATGTTTACCTGTGGTTTGTTGCTAGTGGTAAGTCAATGTTTGCCCGTGGTTTGCTGCTAGTAGTAAGTGAATGTTTACCTGTGGTTTGTTGCTAGTGGTAAGTGAATGTTTACCTGTGGTTTGCTGCTAGTAGTAAGTGAATGTTTACCTGTGGTTTGTTGCTTGTTGTAAGTGAATGTTTGCCCGTGGTTTGCTGCTAGTGGTAAGTGAATGTTTACCTGTGGTTTGTTGCTAGTGGTAAGTGGATGTTTGCCC